GACTCTACAGTGAGAACTCAATTCAAATGTGTCGTTTAAAGATCTGGGAGTGGTATCCCAATCAGCTGACTGAACTTGCTGACCAGCATGGTCATAGTTATTTCAACATTAACAGCATGTCAACTGGACTCCTAGGGTAAATGTTATCCATCTAAGCAATACAGGTCATCATTCTGTCTCCTAGTTTGTTTGTTTCCAAGAAATAGCAAACCCTCAAGAATTTGATGCCTTCTTTTGCAACTATAACCAAAAGGAACCTATATATTATAACCCAAGCCTACTGCTGGCCCTTGAGGGATATAAAGTAGAGGTCTTCTTTCCCAGAAACAGGAGAAAAGGGCAATAAAAGGTCGTATTTTTATAGTTTAGCTGGATTAAGATGTCTGACTTTTCCACCCTGACCAGATTCTAGCATGATTATGTTACATCCAAACCACCAGCTTTCTTAGTGATGATTTAGTAAAATTATGGAAAATCAGGGGAGGGAGATAGTTACTCTCTCTTCCACAGTGTTTATTTGAATCCAAATAGCAATGAATTTTTTTCTAAAATGTGATATCCTTGGAGCTGGAAGCGAGTGTTCCTATTCTGTGAGTTTGCTCTACAACAATATGAAAACAAGTGATACTCTTGACAGGTTGAAAGGTTTATTTTTTGCACCAAAATAAATAATGGATCTTCAGGTGGAAAAAAAAAATTAGCTTTAGAATCTCACGGAGATGTTACAAATCGAATGCTAGGGAGATGGCCTATTTAGAAATCGATCCCGGGGCCGGCCCGGTGGCGCACTGCTACAGTGTGCCGCTTGGGAGCGTGGCGGCGCTCCTGCCGAGGGTTCGGATCCCACATACAGACCGGCCGCTCACTGGCTGAGCGAGGTGCGGGCGCAACACCAAGGGTTGTGATACCGTTGCCGGTCCCGGTCCGGTACGGGCGTGACACTGAGGGTTGCGATCCCTTGCCGGTCACGAAAAAAGACAAAAAGGAAAAAAAAAAAAAGAAATCACTCCCATAAAATTATTTAACATTATTTAAAAATTCATCATGAGAAATGCATCTATTTCCACCTATAAGTGTTTTCAATCATCGGACATCCTCCACTGAATAGAAAATTGTTTTGAAAAAAGAAAAATTGTATGCTATCAATCATTGTCTATGATCTAGTGATTAGGGGAGGTGCGAAAGGAGAGGAAGGGGTGGGAAGAAATAGGTTCAAAAGATTGTGGTAGAGGCAAGAGAATTCAAATGAAATTTTTTGCATTCTTATTCATTAATAATTACAATACAATTTATTTATTGCCAAATACATGCCAGAATATTCTATGTTGATATTGAATATTTAAAATCTTCTCAAGTATTCAAAGTTGGTATTGTTACCTTCTTGTTACAAATAAGAAGTTGAGGTTTAGAAAAGTAATATAAATTGCTCAAATTCACAGAGCTACCAATGGCCAAAGGTGAGATTCAGACCTCCCGTCTTTCTGCCTGTAAATCCTGTGGTTTTCCAGTATGCCAAGCTCAGTAAAAGTAACACATGGGCATTTGTCAAGATTACCTCCCTGGTTTAACTCATTTGTCTGATGTGCTCCAAGGATCCCCAATTCCTTAACCATTCTGGATTATGTTTTCCTGACTGGAATGTCTGTCAAGCAGTGCTGTTACAATTCAGTTGAATCATGACATAATCTGTCTGAAAGTTAAGGAAAAAAGTCCAGGCTCCTATTTTCCTGGACCTGTGCTGTGAAAAGTTAGACAAAGCATTATCCTGTGCAGACCATTAGTAGAGGAAGTCACAAAGCAAACTTCAAGTGATGAATTCCAAGACAGAGGACTCTGAGTCACTGAAACTGAGTCAGAAGAGACCTCCAAAAAAAAAGCCTACAGCATCCAAATTATTCCACCAGAGTGAAAATGCTCTAACAGAATCTAAAAGCAGCTAAGGTTTTTATCTTCAGATATCTGTTTCTGTTTGGTTGGCTATGTTATCAAAGTAAGCATCAACCAAGGTAAATTCAGTGGAACTTTATTTCTGCCAGATTCTCTGAAAGAAAAATTCCATGGCCAAAAAATAAGTTTGGGAAATTGTTTCTATTTCCATCTTGGAGAGTCATCGAAAGGCAAATTATTTATTTTAAACAGAGCATTTCCTAAACATATCTGACCATTGAATTGATTACTTTTGTTTCTAGTAATGGTTATTAATCTACAGAATAATATTCTGAGTAATTTACATTGAGAAATTCTATACTAGATCAACTTCCCGTTTTCTCACCAACTAGGTTCTCACCAACCCACCTTCTATTATTTTTCTCACTTAAACCTCATGTTTTGAAAACAGTTTTCACTGTGTCTTTACAAAATTTATTCACAGAATACTGTTAGACTTTTTGAAATATTGGCAGGGGGCAAATCCCAGAGACCCTCATTACCCTTTATATTGTTTCCCTGAGTTACAAATTTGAAACTGGGGATTACTATTCTAAGAAGAAATTGCTTGTTAAATAGATTCTCTTCATTGCTGTCCTATTTAGTTCTCTTATGGTTAGAAAACCATTGCTATCTCTTCAGCTTGTTTTGTAAAGTTCATAGAGGCATAGAAAGAATGCAACTTTTGGTTTGATTAGGAGTTTCCCAGGGATCTCCCTGTTCTGAGAAGGTACATCAATGTAACCATGAGGGGTTCAGTTTTCATCTTCTTTAGGTAATTCATATTCTAGGGTCTTAGTTTTTCCTGCTAGCCTGGTTTGGGCCCAAGGAGTTGGCCAAAATCTGGCAGAAGTAAATCATACACAATTACCAAAAGAATTTTTATTGTATTAATTACTCAAAGTTTAAAGGAAAATCTTTATACTGAATCTGAAAGATTTTAGTGAGCTCTACATCTTTCTGTGTTCCAATTTTGAAAATAGGAGTGAAATTTCTGATTGTGAAGCCATAAATCATTAATAATTGTTTAATAGCATGCTTTAATTTATATCCACCACAATGTCATTAAATTCTCTTTTTAATTTTTTTTTATTTAACTTAACATTGCACAAACTTTCTAATATACTGTTTAATATCACCATAAGGCAACTTTTAATTATTTGAAGCTGTAAGTAACACACAAGCAGAAAACATTACATCCATTTTTTCCTCTTCACTGGTATTGATATCAATTTATTTCCATTAACATAAGCATCAACAACTTGTCAACTGATAAGATAACATTTTCTTTGCTTTAATTTTGAATTGTTTGACTTGTCTTATTTGTTTTCCAGATCCACTGTGTCTTGGTTATAAGAAATGAGAGTTAAATTACAGGAAAATTATCAGGTTGCCTACCACTGCGCACCATGAGGGGCCTTTTTGTTTGTTTGTTTGTTTTTGTGTTCTACCTGCCTCTGTTGCTTGGCTTATGAGTCAAGTAATACAGTACTTGCTTCTCTTAATTTCTGTTAACTGGTGCTATAAATATAATATACATGTAATATATATGTAATCTCTCTCTCTATATATATATAATTTAATTACACTTATCACAACATCCTAAGACAATGAAAAATGTATTTGGCTAATTATAAATCTATTGTAAAAATTGAGTACAGGGAATATTAACTAGGATTTTAAAATCTGTAAATACATAAATATCTTTTGGAAAGTATGTCATATATATGCCCCCAAAAGAATGGAAAATGAGCACAATAACTAAAGCAAAACACCAAATGAGAATGACCAGACAAGTACAAATAGACTCACTGTCTCCCCCAAACATATACGTATTTACATTTTGGCTAAAATTCAGATGTTATCAAAAAGGGTCACTAGACTCCTTTGTGCCTTTACTATTTGCTTGAAACATACTTGAACATTATGGAAAAGATGAAGTCAGGATATGAGTTACTGACATCTATTCAGGATGTTTGAGCTGAAACACTGTTAAAACAGAGACGAATGAAGAGGATGATATGCAGACTGATTTGGTTAGATCTGACAGTTTTAGTTTAATTTGGGGATGCATTATTTGTTCATTTAACTATGTCAATTGACAAAATCACCTTGCTTTTGAAGAACATTACCATATGTTCTCAACATCTTATACTCTTAAGACTATCATGATAATTTATGTAAATATATTTTCTTTGTATTATTGATTTTACCTGAATATGTGCCATTGTTATTCACATTTTTAACATATAAAATCATAAATACTATCTCTTAAAACTGAGTAGATAAATTTAAGTTCTTTAACTATTTCTCTTATCACGTTCCCTTTGTTAAAATACCTGAAAATAAAACTTTTTATTGCAATATAGTAAGGAGGAAACACCACTGGAAAAAGAAAAAGGAGCCCTCTTCCTTTCTCATTTAGAGTTTAGGAGAAGTCTGGGCAAATAAAAAGAATTCTTAAAAATTGCTTCTCACAATTCTTCATATATAATCCATTAAATAATGATGAGATACATAAATTTACACACAGGTTAATTATTTTCATTGAAGTTATATTGGGTATCTTAAAATTGGGATTCTGTATTATTGGGGCTTCTTCGTATTTTTGCTTCCTTCATATTATTTTTCTTTGTTTACTATATCTATTTTTAAAAATTTAAATACTGTATGCATGTTGGATAATCTGTTTTGAATGCTTTATTTTAATGGACACACTTTTAAAAATAGAAGGTAATTATTATTTGATAAAAAGATTACAATGTTTAGTAAGACTTTGCAGTAAAAAGTCATTAGAGAAAAAAAGGGATGTGCAGGAGTTCAAAAGTCATTCAAATAAAGGCACAAAGAATCTGAAGATAAATCAGCACATGCAATATACACCATCCCTATCTAGGAGAGAAAAAGGAAGAATAATATATGGCATAAAAAAACAAGATGGCCAGCTCCTGTGGCATGCCTTGCTGAGGTGAGCCAAGGAGACCCGCAGGGTTCAGGTGACCTCTCTCTCCTTGAAACCTGTGGGAAGCGCCAGCTCCCATGGCACACCCCACCAAGGTGAGCCAAGGAGACACATGCGGCACTGGGAGCTCGTTCTATGGCCAGAGATTCTGGAACAGGATCCAGGGTGGTGTAATATAGCCACTACCACACCTACGGTAAAGCAAGGACAATTCACCACCTCAGTGGCAGCCAGGGCCACTCTGCAAGTAACCTACTGCTCACTCGACTACACTGATATAAGAGTCACCAGTATAGCCTGCAAATAGAGGAAGAAATCTTTATCCTTATAGCCAACCTCAATGTAATAGAAGAAGCAAACCCTCTACCAAATGACCAAACATCAATGAAAAAATACTAGAACTACTAGATAATATTTAGGTGGAGAAGGCAGTTCAGTGGCTTCTCCAGAAATAGGTATGTGGCTCAAAAAAAGAGTCATCTGCCATTAGACGAGACTGAACAAAGAGCTTGTACTAGATTACAAAAATGGCCACAAATCCCCCTCTCCTCAACACGTCAGCCTTGCAATCAATGTACCTTTTTAACTCTGCCTATCAAGGGACAGAGTCTAGTCCTCCACCACTAGAATCTGGGTTGGTTCTTGTGACTTGGCCAATGGGATAGAAGCTTACTTAACACAAGCACAATCCTGCAGGATGAAGGGCAACACAGAACCCAGTTACCATCTCCTTTGTGCTCCTTCCCCAAAATGTTGGCAGAGTGTCAGATAGGAGACATGTGAGTATGACCAAGGCCTGAGAAACGTGCTCAGCCTGACTCAGACCAGATGAACTGCCTGGCAGATGGTGCTGGTTATAAGTCACTAATACTTAGAGTAGGCTTGTCATGCAGCACATGCATACTGTCTCAAGACCCTGATAGGCCTTCAGGGTCAACATGCATTTCATGCTTTACAAATATTTATTGATTGTTTACCCTGGCCTGCCACTATTGTAGATTTAGAGATTATATAAATGATAAAAAGAGTCAAAGTATCTACTATCATGGAATTTGCACTCTGATGTGAAGAAACATCTAAACAAATAATAAAATAAACAGAATATGGCAGATGGTGTAAGCATTGAGAAGGAATATAAAAGGGGGTCAGGGGGATAGAAAGTGGCAGAGGTAAGGGCACTATTGCAGCTAGGAGTTGGGAAGAGCTCTCTGTGGCCCTGACATTTGTTCTGGCCTCCAGTTACCTCTCCACTCCATCTCCCACCTCTCTCCCTGTAGCTCACTTCACTTGAGTCACACTCCCTTCTCTTGTAACCCCAGGGCCTTTGCACTCACTATTGCCTACACTTCACTCCTGGGGGTATCTACAAGAAGAGTCTCTGAGAGGAAGGAACAGTGACTGGGTTTCTATTACTTGAGATGGGAGAAACTGCGGGAGGAGGGATACTAAAAAGTTTTATTGTTCTGTTCTATAGAGTCTAAGCTAAAATGATCTAGCAATGGTGTGGGAGTGGGTTTGATCCCACTGACAGGCTTAACTCTGAAGGAAAGATAGAGCAGCATCCACCTGGTCAGACAGGGAATAAAGATGCCACAAAATGACATTTTCTACTATGAGTATAAGGACACTTTCAGTGCACCCATATTCTTAGAAAGAAAAGTGTCTTAAGCTAGGACTGTATCCTCTTGGTCGAAGGAATCTCATATGCAATGTATAGTACAGATTTAGTCTCTAATGCTTGATTGTCATGGTTTTTCTTTTGCAAGGCTCCCAATGCCACTGTTTCCAACCTTCAGTTTTTATAGAATTTGGCAGGGTGGATAAAGTTCTCTACTGTGTATGTCCAGCTGCAGGAGATAGTGTTATTTTTCCTGATGAGAAAATCCAGGCTCAGAAAGTTCACATATTAAGTTATCTAAGTGACATTCCAAGTCAAGTTTGTCTCATTCCAATTATACTATGAGTACTAAATCCCTTTCTCTTTACCCCCTAAGTACAATTAGTACTTCTGTGGCTGAACCATCTAAACTAAACCCACCTTAACTTCTTTTACAGTTTGAGGACAGCTCTTTTACAGGTTGAATGCTTCCAGTTCCTTTAATGCTTCCTCGAGTGACACGGTCTAAATCTCTTGGTTTCACTCAGAGATGCATTTCTTCCAGTGAGGGGCCTGGTTTTACACACACAGCTTGATGATAATGATTGTAAAACCTCACTTGATCTGGACACTAGCTTTCCATTTTGAAATCTGAGATGTGAATAATTTCCTCTCCCACATCACAGTCATTGGTTCACATTAAGTTCATAGTAAAATAAAACTTCCAGGTCCTTAACCCTTCCCGGTCAACAGGAAAGTGGCGATTGGGCACAACATATTCAAGAGTAGCCACATTTCCTTCTTCTCCCAAGGGGCTTTTGGGTACTGTCCCTGCTCAGAATCCTGTCTTCGATTATGCCAATTGCAGAGCTAGGGCTAGGTCTCACAGACCCCTCAAGCCTGTTGTCCAGACCGGGTCACAAACCCTGCACACGCAGGTCTATGAGCTAGGTAATAGGAAAAGGTCCTGGGAGCTGTGGGTGAAGAAATAATAGGCTTTATTCAGAGCTAGGAGCAGCTGCCCTAGTGGCTTCTTGGAGCATCTCAGAAGTTTCGCCGCTTATCAGAGCCGTTAGTCCTTTATACTCAAGTCCATAATCCCAAACAGCTTCAGGGACGCAGAATGCAACCCCAGGATGTGAGGAGCAGCATTGGAATCACCCCACTGTCTGCAATTTCCATACAGAATATGGAAGACTGGGCGGAACTGCACATGCACAATTATATTAGACAATAACCAGGAACACCTGGGTGCACATGAGCATATTTACACCAGATGCTTGGCAAGATTCTGAAGATCTGAGGGGCCCTGACCATTTTTTCTATAGTTTCCCAACAACAACACACCTCAGGGTTATGCCAGTTGAGCAGTAAGGAACTGGATTATTTGCCCACCAGCAACCCATAATGTGATAAACATATCCTTATATTTTCACTCCTGCCCCTGACAGGGGTGAAAATGTCCCAGGGGCTTGGCCTATGGGACAAGCCAAAAGCACTGAATTATTTCATCTAGGTCATGTTTGTTGTATGTGTTGAAATGTTATTAAGTAAATACAAATTAGTTATTCATTAAGAAGGACGCAAACACCCCTGTCTTACAGACCTGAAGAAAACAAACAAAAATTTGCTTGTTTTTTAAAATATGTTCTTCAAATAATTTATAGTTCAGAATTCTGCAAACTGTTACTATGCTTCCGTCCAATAAGTCAGAATTAGTACTTCTTTGCCATAATTTACCATCTAATCCCCTCTGCCAGGAAAATGTCTCTAAGTTCAAGAAAACACTCCCTTTGGGGCCTGCTTCCTCCTTACAGGAAGATACCAGCTGGAAATGTTTAACATCACATTTGCGGAGGACTTTGGTTTTATAGATACTTGCCAAACACACTAAGATCAGAGTTACTTCTTTTTTTTTTTTTGTCTTTTTTTTTTTTTTTTTGTCTTTTGTCTTTTTCCGTGTCCGGCAACGGATCGCAACCCTCAGTGTT